AGACATAGGAGATTGGAATAGCCCCAGTTATTGAGAAGACTTCCAGCAATAGCAGACAGCATAACTGTATCAGAAATCTCCAACTAAAACTGCATAAGCCAGGCACACTAAATAATGAAAACATTACTCTAATGACAAGTGACCTACTTAGGGTGACCACCCATCTCCATTTGCCCAGGACCCTCCTGGTTGTTACACGGAAACTCCAGCATCCCTGGAAACTCTTCATTGCCAGGCAAACCAGGACAATTGATCACTGTCCTCCACACGCTTCTTCCTAGACCTGCCTTTCAACATGACCACAGAGTATTGGGTCTGCCCCTTCCCAGTCCATACTTGCTCTTGGACTGATACCCTTCCATACACATAGGTGGAGTAGGGCAGGGGAACACACACAGGAGTGTACAGTTGTGGTTGTGAATTTTGGTAGCAAGATGGAAGAACGGGATTTATTTGGAATTTTAGAGAAGCAGACTCTCGTAGATTCAAAATCCGGGTAGGACCCTGGTCTGAATAGTGCCCTGTTTTTCACTCATAAGAAGCATACTTCAGAAACACACTGGAGAACTGAAGATGAATACTTTTGTATGTGTGTAGGCACATGTGACCCTTTATCTAAAATGCATTTTTACATCATAGGTACACAATAAATACATCATTGTAAAAATGTGATGCTCAAAGTACGTTACTATAAAAGCCTTATAATACAATGTCCTAACTCTGAGCTCTGGCCCAATTTTCTGACTAAACGTGTTGCTTATTGCCACTTAAATACCTTAGTGGCAAAGCTTTTGTCTTCTTGGATGAAGTCTGTGTATAATTTCCTGGAAAAAAAGGATAGAATTAGCTTGGAGTTGGATCTTTGATCAAGAAACATCTGGAGAAATTGCAGACACTGGTGAGTAAACAAGTAAGGCTGTTCTCAGATGTGGAGAACTAATGAATCAGATTCGTAGTTGCATAATGATCAGACCCCATCCCATGAAGGGGTTAGGTGGGTGCTGGCCCTGCTGTTAACAAACTGGACCCAATTGTAGTTTCACACCATTCTTTCCTGAAGATTGTATTCATTCTCATATGCTTGCAATTTTATTATATGTAATACCACTCAAGAATGTTAATGGACTCTCATTACCAGAACCACATTTTGGAGATGTCATTTAACATGTAGCACTGGGCCGAAGAAATTTGATTATAAGGTAGCCAAGAATTATTCAGTCAATCAATTATTCCTAAATCGTGTGCAGTATAAAGCTCTTACTTACACACAATGAATACCAATCATTTCCAGTAAGTTTACTACAAATACATAATGATTTCAGTGGAAGATTACCTACTTTCATATGCTAGAACACTCTTTAAGAATATCTATATCATATCTATATCATCAAATCTATATCATGCTTTTCAGTGGTATTGTCTTCATAAACAGAAGCATTTATTCAAGACTACAGGGCTCTGAGACTTTTCTGACTCAAATGTCAGTGGTGTAAAACTCTCCTTTGGAAAGAAAATGTTAGCTACCATGCAATATTCATTTTGCATTTTCCAAAATGCTGAAAAATCTGTGCAACATACAAGAACCACAGGAAGTAACAGGAGGCAAATTTTGCAAAGCAAAAAGGCCACACATGAAATAAACTATGAGATAATCATTCGCTTGTTTATTAATTTTAAAAGCATATATATGCATTTATTAAATGCTTGGCACAGTACAAGACAACAGAAAGATTAAGATATATTTTTGCCCTAAACAGCTTATGTTCTAGTAGAAAATGTTGAATATTTTTAATGATAAATGATAAAAAAACAAATTAATTACTATGAGAATAGAAATTAGAGATTTTCCTCTTCCACCCTTCCTGCTTTCCTCTATTTCTCCCTCCCTCCCTCTCTCTCTCTTCTTTCCTTCCTCTCCCTTTTCCTTTCTTCCTCCTTTCCTTTCTTTTTTTACCCTGTTCAGGATTTCATGGAAGGTTTACTAAAAAGTGCTTTCTTTTTGTGATCATAAAATAAACTTTTTATGAGGTCTGTCCAGAAAGTCTCCAGCCATGTAATGTGAAAAATAGAGATATTTCTCGAACAGGATACAAAATACAAGAAACATCGTATATAGGACAGTGACGCCTCAGTCCCCTTCAAAGTAGGCATCTTGGGACCTCACACAGTTCTCCCGGCGTCTCTTAACCTAACCCGTACACGTTCGACATTTTCAGGCATTCTGCTTGTTGCGGGCCTTCCAGAACGTGGATCACTTTCAACAGATTCTCAACCATCTCTGAAGCATTTGTACCATACTTTTATTTGCACTGCACTCATTACATTGTCCCCAAAAGCCTTCTGAATCATCCAAATAGTTTCCACGGAGGAATGCTCAAGCTTAACACAAAATCCGATGCAGATTTGTTGCTCTACTGGCTCAGTGCTTTTGAATGTTATGGCCAGAGTACACATGCTCACTCAATGGCATCTAGTGCCCCACTGAGGAGCACAGTGAGGGCGTCATTGTTCACGCATGCGTGTTACAGTACACGCTCCTTGGCTGCCAGGTTACAGCCATGTTGTGCAAACCATTCTGGTTATGTTAACAATGGATGGACACTTTCCAGACAGGCCTGTATGTGATAAAACATTCAGAGTAAAAAGATATACAGTGAAAATCAGTCTCAAGTTTCTTTTCCTAAAAGCACCTCTCATTGCCAGTTTCTTCAGCATCCCTTTAGAAAATTCAATGCATGGGCAAATATTTGTAAACATTCCCTCTTTTTCTTTTAGATCCAGTAGAATCACCATATACACACTGTTTTGCCATTGCTTTCTCAAAAATACATTTAAAGACTTTAAGTATATTTAATTAATGTAATTTTAGCACAGGGAAATTAGTCTTCTGCCATATGTGCTGAAAATATTTTCCAAGCTTATCATCTGTCTTTTGACATTGTTTAGGTATTTTTTACCATGCAGAATTTAAAATATTTTACTTGGTCAAATTTATCAAATTTTGTGACTTTTGTCTTTTTGATTTTTCTTTGTAAAGCTTTTTCAAATCAGGGCTGAAAAACAAATTTTCCCCTGTGTACTTCAAATGTTTTTATGGTTTTAACTTTTTTTCAGCTAAATCTTTATCTAGAATTCATTTTGGTGTAAGACTTCATTTTAATCCAATGGCTAGTTGCTGACTCCAACACCAATTTTGGAATAATTGATCTCTCTTTTTCACATTGATATGAAATGCCAAGAATGTTTCAGAATTTTTGGAGAAGGAAAGGAAAACAAACCAGGCAGTAGGAATAACGTGAAACAAGGAAGTCTATACCAGCCTTCCAACCCTTCAACCTATGTTTACTGCTCTATCTCAACTTTTCAGAGAAATCTCCTCTAAAATAGCAACAACTACCACCACTACTACCACTGCAGCACTTAGTCCTCACTATGCATCAGGCATAGTATAAGCATTTTACAGGCATCTCATTTAATCCCCACACCAGCTAGGTAACATAACTGTCTTTAATTTTAAGGTGAGGAACCTGAGGAAGTGAGGCTAAGCAGCCTTTTCAAGACCACATATCTAGTAGATATTACAGCATGAACCTGAACCAATTGATACCAGATCCTATTCTTTTAAACTCAGGGTTATACTACATCTCCACCACCTCACTTGAACAAAAAACCTAGCTTTCTCCTGAAAACATTTGCTCCCATTATGTCCTTCTAAGTGATGGTTGACCATTTTCCAATATGGCAGGTAGAGAAAGTTGGAATTCAAAACTGGAGGTTGAGCAATGACTTTGGAGGCTGTTTCAAAAGTTTAGGGGGCCATGTGAAATATCTGAACTAGACTAGAATAATTGGGATGGAGAGGACAGACATGTTTCTGAAATACATAAGGGATAAAACGGGGCAGATTTAATGGTTGAATGAAGGCAGAAGGAAGAAAGGGAATTCAGGATGACTTATATTTTCAACTTGGTTGCCTGACCAGGTAGATGATGTTGCCATCAACTGAGAGAGAATTTAGAAGAATAAGCTGGATTTCAAGGAAAGAAGAAGAAGCTGAGTTTCATTTTTGACTGGAAATAATAAGAAGTTGTATTATAGGCAGTTTTATTGACTCTGAAACCAACAGGTTCAGATAGGAGTATTAAATTTGTGAATTCATTAGGGCACAGATGTTAGCTGAAATTTTTTAAGTGAGTGAGATCATCTAGAGAAAGTATGCAGCATGAGAAGAGCTATGGGACAAGACAGAACTTTGGTGAACATTCAGAATATAGATGGCTCATTTCAAAAGGGATAGAGGAAAAAACAATAGAAGAAACTGCGGAGTCTAGTATCAACAAAAGCAAAGTGACCAATAAAAGCAAATATAACTAAATTCAGCAATTTAGTCAATAGGAAAATCAATGGGAAAGTACTCTCTAGTTAGCAATAATGAGGTCATTGGAGATTTTAATAAGAATAATTTTAGTACACAGTGGAATGGAATATAGATGATAGTCAAATGAACTCTGAATGAGAGGCAATGCTGAGGAGGCTGTCTGGATTACTCTTTTAAGAAGTCTGGGAAAGAAACAATTGATTGTAATTGAGGAGAATGTGAAATCTGGAGCTTTGGTTGAAATAGGAAAGACTGGAGAGTGTTTAGTGGCTGAAGGTGAAGGAACTAGCATAGAGATCAAAAGAGACCCTCTGTTCTCATAGAAGATACAAAAGAAAAATTTTGAAGACACGAGTGGTATGGGGAAGCTAGCTTCATCTTTTAAGACTGAAGAAAAAGATGTATTGATGGAAACAAGGTAGACAAAATTATACATAGATAGAATTGGCAAATTGAGGGATATTTGAGGAATTTACCCTTAGTGCCCTTGATTTTCATAATAAAATAGATAAATTTATCTACTGGAATGAAGGAGTTGGCATGCTGTCAGATGCTTGAGAGGAGCAGTAAAAAGAATGTTGGAATGATATATTTCTGACTAAGGATATATAAAAATAATTTATTGGCAGCTCTGAGTACCTACTTGACAACAGAGATTTTTAATTTCTCGCGATGCCATTTCATATTGTTGTTATCTTTTCTTGGTGCAGAAGAGAAGGTAGAGCTTGATCCTATTGACTTTGTATTGATTTGAAGAGCTAATGATGTATGGAAATTTAGCATATCTGCAAGAAAATAATTAAGATGATAAACAATTTTAGTTAAGGTTACATAAGGGAAAACATGAACAATGGAGATAATAAGCTAGAAAAAAATAAAAATATCAAGGAAGTTGATCTCTATGAGATGGAAGAGTGATGGAGTAGAAGTCTGAGGATAAGGGTTGCAGTCAAAGAGTGAGGTGGAATAATTCTTAGTGATAACAGGATTCAGAGTTTGGTGATGGGTATAGGTAAATCTAGGTGGATTAGCACTGAAGGTCACTCGGTAAGAAAGGTTCAGAGATTTGGAGGCTAGTTTAAATGATGGATTATTAAAAGAAACTGTGACTTTTCATAGATTTCCATGGTATAGGAGGAAGAGTCTGTGTCAGAGGACTGTCAGTGGCAGAGAGGCCAATAATGGAAACATGGCTCGGTGGCATGAGTATTGACGGTAGATGAACACTTTTGCCCGTGAATAGAGTTGTAATCAAATGACAAGGAGAGAATGTTCAAGATGAACTGTTCAATGAAATAAGCAATTCATTGGAGAAAATTATGTGAATATAGATATGGATAGATATATACAGTAGTGTGATGATCACTGTAATTTTAACAAACATATTTAAACTTATAATATATTTTCCATCAACAGTGATAATTCATTAACCTTCTTAACATTCCCTCCCAAGTAAGAATTTGAGTATGTTTTTACTTCTTCCTTCTTGTTCACCACCAGATTGTGGTTAATTTTTTGTTATATTGTGACGCTATTTTTTTTTTTTTTTTTTTTTGAGACAGAGTCTCACTTTGTTGCCCAGGCTAGAGTGAGTGCCGTGGCGTCAGCCTGGCTCACAGCAACCTCAATCTCCGGGGCTCAGCGATCCTACTGCCTCAGCCTCCCGAGTAGCTGGGACTACAGGCATGCGCCACTATGCCCGGCTAATTTTTTGTATATATATTTTTAGTTGGTCAATTAATTTATTTCTATTTTTGGTAGAGACGGGGTCTCGCTCGAACTCCTGACCTTGAGCAATCCGCCCGCCTCGGCCTCCCAAAGTGCTAGGATTACAGGCGTGAGCCACCGCGCCCGGCCTGTGACGCTATTTTTTAAGTATCCTGCCTTAGTAGTGCTGGTTTTAAAATACATCCAAGTCTAATTACTCTTTTCCCTTGAATTTGGCCTAGTTTTAGTGACTTGCTTCTAGTGAATAAGAAGGTGGTCGAAGTTTAGCTTTATGACTTATGAGGCCAGGTCATAAAAGAAGATACAGCATCCACCTGGTTTTCTTCTTCTTGGGATGGTGGCCCTTAGAATCTAGCTGTCATGCTGTAGGGAAGCCCAGGCCATGTAGAGAGGCTACATGAGATGTTTCAGCCAACATTCTCAGCTGAGGTCCCATTTTTTAGCTAGAATCAACTCCAAAATATGAGTGAGGAAGCCATTGAGATGACTCCAACTCCAGCCATCACTTGACGACAATCACATTAGAGACCTTAAGTGAGAACCACCTGCCTGAGCTGAGTCCGTTCCATAACCATTATAGATATTAATAATAAAAATAAATGACTGTTCTATGCAATTAAATGTGAGGTAGTTTGTTTTGCAGCTATAATCAGAACACTCAACAACTGAATTAAGCTTCACTGCTATATTATCAGTAATTATTTAGATGTAACTATATATTTTATTAATTTATTTGATTGTTTATCCATCCCATATTATTCTTTTTCTTGTATTCCTTGCTCATTCTGCTGGAATATGTAGTGGAGGGTTTTTTTTTTTTCCCTCAGAATGAACTCTGGGTCCTTGCATGTCTAAAAAAATATTTGAATGGTAATTTGACTTATAGAATCCTAGATTCAAATTTTTTCTCTCTTCTTTTTCTAGTGTATATAGTTTTACAGATGAGAGTTCTCATTCCAGTGTCATTCTTACTTCAGGATAGTTGATATGTTTCCTGTAGTTTTTTTTTAATACTTGGCCTCTGGAAATTTCCACAAGACATGTACACATATTCCCAGCTCTTTTTATAGCTAGCACTTTCTTGCCATTCAGATCTTATAGCAATGTCAGCTCCTTAGAAACACCTTCACTGAACTCCCAGTATAAAGTAGCTCCACGTGTTCACTATTTATCTCATTACCCATAGTGCTTTCTTCAGGAATTTGTTGCTTTTTTATTTTTGTTTATAGATTTATTTTATCTCTTCTCTTTAGAATTTAAAATACATGGGGGGAGAATAGGGTCTTTCTTATTTATGGTTGTTTTTCTAATGCCTTGAATAGTGCCTGGTATACCGTAGATATTGGATGAAATATTTGATAAGGAATGAGTGAATAAATGTATTTGCTTGTGTTCCATTTACTATTAGATACCCAGTATGCTTTTTAATCTGAAAACTTGAATCTTTTTCAGGTCATCCTTTTTAAAGACTATCTTTTGATTGTTTACTTTTCTCATTCCTCTTCTCTCTTAGAATATGAATATTGGATATTCTTCCCCATATCTCCTAAATGTCATTCTTCATATTTCTTATTTCTTTTATATATTATATGTAGAGAAAGAGGGAAAAATATTTTCTCGACTTTACCTTCTTTGGCAATATCCTTTCACTTCGCCCTTCTATTATTTTTTAAATCTTTCCAAATATGCCTTATTTTTCAAGAACCATTTTTTGTTTGCTGTTTTGTATTGTATCTTCTTTGTTTTGTTTTTGTGGATTCAATGTCTCTTCAGTGTCTGAAAATACTAAAAAGAATTGAAGTTCTTTTTTTTTTTTTTTGTATATCTCTGTTTCCTCCAATTGTTCATCTTTAGCTTTCTCTTTTATATTATTTTTCTTTCTTAAATCTCTGGTGATCTTTGTTTTCTGTGAAATGATAAGTAAAGGAATAGATTGACTAGCTTAATTATCTGGGTTTTATTGCCTTTAAAGTTGTGTATCAAACATATTTAAACAACATTGATAATTTATTAACTCTTATAACTTTCCTCCCAAATAAGGCAAGTGTTTGAGTATGCCTTTATATTTTCCAGCACTGCAATAAATTCTTTTTTTATATATCTTTTCTGTCATTTCAGTGGGATGTTGCGGATGTGAGTAAAAGATGTGCCCAGCCAACCATCTTTATCTAGACACCGCAACTTACAGACTTGCACTTATACCTCCGATTCACTCTGGCTACATCTGTCCTAAACTTAACTCAATCTGGCTTCTCTCTCCAGCAGTCTGCTGAGACTGCTATCCCTACTATCCCTGTGGACTGATTAATCCTCAAAACCTCTGTCCATTTGCTGCTCTCCAATTAGTGTTCAACACTATTGATCCATTCCTACTTTTAAGATTCTTCTCTCTGTAGGAATTTGTGGCAAAAAAAATTTCATTTTGATTTTGATTTTTTTTCTCCTAGTCATTCTTTCTCTATTTTGCTGACTTCTGCACACTATTTAATTCAGGGGTCCTCAAACTTTTTAAACAGGAGGCCAGTTCACTGTCCCTCAGACTGTTGGAGGGCCAGACTATAGTTTAAAAAAAACTATGAACAAATTCCTATGCACACTGCACATATCTTATTTTGAAGTAAAAAAATAAATGGGCAAAAATACCCTCATGTGGCCCGAGGGCCGTAGTTTGAGGACACCTGATTTAATTCTTTGATGCCACTACGGAAAAGTCCAAATCTCTTTGATAGATGAGTCACTGAATCTATTTAACTGTATTCATTGATCTGCATATAAACCCTGCCCTGTTCAGGATGGTGACTTTATAGTCCCCAAGCCTTCCATGCTTACTTTAGACTCTGAGCATTTGTTTATATTATTCATCCTATAAAGAATAGTTGCCACCTTCACTATCTTTCCTAATGTTATCTATCCTTCAGAAAGGGGCCCAATTCTTCATCCTCTATGAAGCATCCCCTGACAATCCCAAAACAGTTTCTTGTTTGAATTCTTTTGGCTTCTCCAGTTGAATGGTCGTTTTTGGTTTACCATGAATTCCTATTTATCATTAATTACCTCTAAACTTATATTCTATTTCTGTGGTTAATTTCTTCAAGAGCAGAGTTTGTGTCTTACATTTTAAGAATCTCTTCTCTCCATACATAATCTAGTAATAGGAACATAGAAAACACTAACATTTCCATTGAATTAGTAAACAAGAAACCAGTGATATATAACTAGCAATAATTATTTCTTGGCTAGGACAAAAGAGGTGAAAATTTGGGAGTTAAGGATAAGGTCCACCTTTGAATAGCTACAGGTGAAAAATGTGACTGTATTTTAATAAAGGCATAATGGGAAAGCACATTAGCCTGGTCAACAGAATTTGAAACAGTATCTGGGTGTTTTCTTTGTGTTTTGTGTTTGGGGGGTTTTTTAGGTTCTCACTTCACAATGCAGCATTGGAGTATCAAAAAACCCCTTATCCAGCACAGTTGGTTCCAAGAGAGATGGCAATGACCCTCGACTTAATGAGGATTTCATAGCTTCTTATGAAAATTGTATAGAAAAGGAAAACAACTATTAGGTCAGCTACTTCATATAAAGATATTTCCACACCTGCTTTCCAGCAGACAAGGTGCTGTGAAAACCCACTGACTCTGAATATTATATTTAAAAGAATCAAGATTTTTAAAAGAAATGTATTGTTTTAAAAAATTCTGTTTTCCCAGCTCACAAAACAAAGACTCCTTTGCAAAATAGCTCTCCAATTTATCTGATTTATCTATTGTTCAAATATGTCTTGTTACAATTTTAAAATCTTAAAAGTGTGTATAGATAATCACGTTAGATATTAAGGGAAGGAAAATTCATGTAATTTCTAGAAAATATCTTTGTAAAAAAGTAAAATTACATTGTCACAGAACTGAACTCTGGATTTTCAAGCTTTCTGAGATTCTATGACCCAGGTATCAGAAAAGTCTGGTTGAATTTCTGGTTTAGAATTTGGACACATGTCATTAAATGTGCCTAGTGGACTTTATACAAGAAAGTGTGAGTTTTAAGAAGAAATTGCTATTTTCCAAACAACTTTTTCTATTTAATAATTTTTCCTTATTCATTCTGTAGAATTGTTTTAAAAAAATGTTTGCAGTGAAAGAATATGTGTGTCAGAGTCTTCATGGAGTTTGCATAATGGTATTTGTTCTTGTTTATGTTCATGAAATATCCCTACACATTCATTACCAAGAATAAATAATTCAGAGAGGTTGTCACAAATTCTGTGAGGGAATATCTTTTTCTTTCCGCAATTATAACAACTGAGGAGAAATGTCATTCACTAGCAAGGTGATATCACAGTGACTTACAGTAAGATATCATGATGCAAATATTTGTTGCTACCTCAGTTCTTTGGAATGAGATTAATGTAATTCAGGCTGCCTTGAAGCTGACGTTTCTGAAGCTTAGTTAACAATATTAATATTGAAACCCTATTTTCATCTTGTGTTATCAGGGAATAAAGTGTTCGATATTTGCATTAGTTGTCTAAAAAATTCGGGTAAGGCTTCAAGCACCAAACTTAACTTCAGTAATTAATTCTTTCCAGATTTTTCAAAGTACTTCTAATCATGGCTTTCGTTCAGCAGAAAACACTAAATAAAATTTAAATTTATTTTTCATGATCCAGTGCCATCCATATAAACAACAGTCTGTGTAATCATAGCATTATTCATCATCTAAAACGAGTGGGCAAAGTATGCCCTGGGGCTAAATCCGGCCCACTGCTGGTTTTTGTAAATAAAGTTTTATTGGAATACAGCCAAGCCTATTCATTTACGTTTGTCTAATGCTGTTTGTACTCTATCCCAGCAAAGCTGAATAGTTGTGACACAGACTGCATGTCCTAACTCCCAAAATATTTACTATCATGAGCTTTATAGCAAAAGTTTGCCAAGCCCTGACCTAAAAGGTGATTCTCTTTTACTATTCCCTGAGTACTAGATGGTCCCTGGAAGCCAGTTTTGTTGGGCTGGACCCAGAAGCTTGGAGAGAGGTTCCATGGGAACTTTCCCTTTAAGCTGGCCCCACCCCTTTAAGGGCCCACCCCAAGTCGCCCACACCAGCCCTAGATGGCCCCCATTGCTGGGCTGACGCCATTTTGGACCCGGCCTGCCTGCACGCAGACGTTAAAATAAACTTCTATCCCGGCCTCCTGTGTTCCTCTCTCGGCATTTCTAACAAGTTTTGGTCATTTATTTCCTTTCTTATACCTCCATTTATAGTCCAAAAGAAAGCGCTTCTAAATACCTCTCTTTTATATTCTAAATATTTAAATGTTTTTAAAACTTTCCCACTTGTGTTTCCACTGCCAGCGTTCCAGCCAGCGCTTCCTCATCCCCCACTGCCGTACCACTGTGATGGCCGCCTCGCTCATTCTCCTGCAGCCGCTCCCGCCCCAGGTGAATCCGCTCTTCATTCCCCAGCCAACGTGATGTTTTTAAAATGCAGTTTTCATTACCTTGCTTTTATACAAAAAGCTCTTCAGTGACTTCCCTGTATTTGTTAGGATAGGAACGGAATCCACAACACCTTGCATCTGTCAGCCATAAACTTTCTGTATGATCTAAACCCAGCCTGCTTCTCCAGCTCGTTTCATCTTATTACTCACCTGACTGTGGTATTTTGTTGTTGTTGTTGTTTCCTCAGGTTCTGGCTACCTCAGGGCCTTTGCACAAGCTGTATCCTCTGAGTGAAACATTTTTGTGCCCTCGAACTACACTCATCTTGTAAAACATTAGTTTTGGAACATCTACGAATCCTTCAAATCTCAGATAAATCTCTGTTTCCTGAGGATACCTTTTTTGTATCTTAAACTTTTATAGACCCTATAATTTTCCTTCCTACTGTTTATCCCAATATGAAAATTTTTGCATAGGATTGACATTAGAATATGCTGAACTTCAGAAGGGCGAGAACCAAGTCTGTTTTTATCATTGTTTTTTCTTTAGCACCTGGCAGATAGTAGGGCCCTAATAAATACCTGCCAGCTGCATTCAGGTTCTAGCGGTGCCCTCTGCAGTTGTCTTGATGCCTTGCCCTCAGGGGCGAAGCATTTTGATTCACCTGACTCCTTTCCATAGATTGTGTCTTCTGTCTTGCCGAGGCCTGTGGAGACTGGCATTTAAATTTGATATAGTACAGCAGCACCTAAAAGAAGGACAAATCGGGAGGTTAATGACTAGGTGAGAGGCACTTCTGTGAGTAAAATCCGTTAACATTAGCAGGTTTATTTGCAACTTCTTTGGGGATTACTTACAGTACCTTTTTCCTTAGAGGTTCTCTAGTGGTTTCTTTATTGCTGAGTATTTTGGACAAGAGACATCCAGATGAACCCTGTGCTATTTTATTAATAATATTATGCCATACATCACCTATTGCCTACTTCAGGCAAAGGGAAATGTAGAGATTTCTCACATCTTTTCATCATGTCTCTGAAAGAGAGAAGCCTGCCCATAGACCTACTTCCCAAAGGCAAGCATTTCTGAGAAGGTATATGAACCTTGATGGTGTTGTATGTTTCTATAGCAGATAAGGGAGTCAAAACACGTGTCTGCATAGTCCCTTGGTAATTAGAAGGACAAAGAACACAGGTTTTTCTATCATGCTCTCATCCTATTGTGGAAACCAAAAAATTAGAATAATAAAGCTTAGAAGAGATCAGATCATTTAATCAGTCGTTTCTACCTTGAGACATTTGTACTTAACTCAAATAGTAAAAATATATAGAATATTGTCAGACTGAGGCCAGAAGAGGAAAAGAAACTATGCTCCAGACAAATAAAGTATCAACAACTAAAATGCTATCTTTTCATTTTATCCACATTTACTATATCTCCACATATATTTCATAAGCAAAGAATCATCTGACAACAATTTTTAAAGAAATACCTATTCTACCAAAAAAAAAAAATGACCTAAACTCTGAGACAGAAAAATAGCCTGCCCCATTTTCCATCTTTTTACAATTCTATATCGAGGATTTTACAATGTCCCTTGATAATCTATCTTAGAGAATATCCCCCTAAAGCTACAGCATTCTTCCTTATGTCTAACATAATCTGTCTGGTTATAATTTAATCCCATCCTTCTACCCTCAGCAGAGAGGAGAGCAGCTGGCAACATCCTCTATCCTAATAATCTTTCACATAATTACAGATGGTCAGTTACCAACCCTTAGCTTTTTTTGTCTACACAAAATCAGCTCAGCATTTTTTTAAACCTCTCCCCGCAAGGCATTTGTTCTTTGATATTTTCACAGGCTACACTTGTCTGTTATGGATATTCTTTGTATTGTTTTATTTTTCTTGGTATTTCTTTTTGCTCAATATGCAATGTTTTGAAAAACAACCTTTTGCACACTGGAAAAAGCTGAGACAAATTTTCAGATGGCAGATACTAAGTATAAAAAGCCTACTTTAAAGGTATAGGGTCTAAAGGTCAGCCTAATAGCACTGATAACTAAGGCAGAATCAAAGAAAATTTAACAAGTTTTGACAAGGGACTGCTCGTTTGTTTGCAATATAATTTACTGAAATTTTTACTCAGTACTAATAGTGAAGGTAAGAAAGTAGAGTGGGTGATTTTCACCCATTCTTTCGTAGAGCTTTGGCAAGGAGGGAAATATGGAGAAGTGAAGATTATTTTAAAGAAGCTTGAGCAGAGTTATGGGAAAATGACAGGTAGCAAATAAGAAAAAAAGGTAGAAATTGGGTAAATGATGAAATGAGTTCCTAAAAATGACAAGAGGAAGAGAAGTGAGATACAAAGGTGGAATTAAACTAGCAAAATTCTACTGTGTTGCTATGACTATATACTGCTATTTAATTTTGCATTTTATTCTGTGATTTTATAAGTAGTTCATTTAGATTGCTAATTTCCTGGCAGTCCTTTTGGAAAAAAATACAACTCCTTATTTTTTCATCTTGAAATAATTATTTACTACATTTTTATGGTAATGTCTCTTAGATAATATCTGGACTGAATAAAATAGATTCTTTTTCCTTCTCGAATCATTTGGTTAGCTTAGGCTTTACTTTTTATTTTATTTTTGAGTTTATTTAAACTGTTCCACATTTAAATCATTGTATTATTTTAATTGCATTATCACTCATTTTAAAATCTTAAATGGCCTAATTAGTTTTTAAGTATAATTTTCCCTTTCTGAGCATTTGTAATTTTCTTCTTGATTTGTCTTGTTATAGCTTCTATTTCTTTGCAATACACGACCTTCTTTTCTAGAACAATCAGATGTCCCATAAACGTACCAAAATAGTCAAAGCAACAATCCCAGATTCCTCCAATTTTTAGATCCCCTGAAATGCAACCTGCCATGTGAACAACTGTGTTTGGTGGCCTCTTCCCCGAGGGGTTCTCTTTTATGGGTGATATCAAAGCAGAGGATGCGATTTAGAATAGACTGAAAGCAAATCCATTTTCTTAAGCTGGATTTTAATTAGTCAAATGGGACATGTTAATGTTTTTCATTTGAGGTTCCAGGAGAAGGGAACCAAAACACTGAGGAACTTAGCAGGCTGGGAATCCAACTGGGAATCTCTTAACTTCTTTAGAAATGTGAGATGGCATGCCCTTTCATTTTTTATTTTTTTCAACAAAAGTATTATAAAAGAAAAAAAATTGTGAGAGGCTAAATGTTACCCAAGAATATAGTAGCATATGTACCACAAAGCTGCTAAAGGCTGAAGTACCAGGCTTAGCAGCGTTTCTTTGCAGCACAGTTGCTTATCAATGAAGCGTGTATGCAGTCTAATTAACATAATTGGAACAACTATAATTATGCTATCATTTTGTTTACTTTAGCACATTCTGTTGAGGTATATGGGTAGCAATATTTGCTATTGAAATATTGCCCCCTTGCTGCATGTCGGTTGTTTAATCATCCTGTTTATTCTACCTTCCTTGTGGCGCTGCCCTGCTACTCAAAGGTGAGGAAAGTGTTAAGTCCTTGTAGCCAGGAAAGTCGAAGAAGAGAAAAACAATGAAACTAATCAAGAGCTCACAGCCACAAAGCTCCAAGAGTGGGCAGTTTTGCAAAAGCACAATGGGAAAATAATACTTCCCAGTTCAGAGCATTCAATCTAATAAAATGATGAAGGAAATTGATTTCAAACAGAATGTATTCATCATACGTGGTTTGCCCCTACGTTTTAAGCAATTGAAGCAAGTTCTATCCTATTTTGGAAAACTGAGTATAAAGTCATAAAGGCTCAGTGGGGCTTATTCTAAGATATCCATTACGAAAATGGGACCAAAAGATGTTATTTGCTTTGACCTTTTAAGTGAGTCTGCAGCGAGGAGGGGAAAATGATACTCAACACTCCTGCTCCTAGCTCTTGCATTTAGAGGCACTAAAGATTTTTTTTCTCCTGATGGTGTCTCAGCAGAACCAGGCAGGAGATAAGAACTTCACAGCCATCAGGCCCTTGTATGATCTCTCCTTTCCTGCATCTTCAAAGGGAGGCAGAGAGCAGAGGGCTTGATTTTCAGAATCAGCTTACTTGGCTGTTCTACGGCACAGAAGAGGTTACACAGGTGTTTCAGGCCTTTGAAGCTTGCTTTTTTCTCATGTTGTTTCCAAAGAGAAGGTGTAGGCTAAAGCATTCCCGATGGCTCCTACCAGAGGCGTCAAGCCAAGGCAAGCAGATGTCGGTGTCACATTCACAGCCAATGAGTGTAATATCTGAGTTTTCATAACCACTCTTCTAAAGAGCATAAACAGAACACAGTATAAAGATCAATAAAACAGGGGGAGACATGCTCAGTGCCCTCTCATCCCACTGAGTTCACTGAATGACTCCACATCTTCCTGCCTACATTTCCCGAGCTCCCTGTTAGACACCAAAAGTCGCTGAAAGAGCTGTTAATGTGTACGCCCCACCTTAAAGGTATATCACATGCTCCTCACTGAGGTTCGCTATGTGGATCTTAATCATCCACCAGATGTTTTTATTTACTAGTTGTTATTTAAAATAGCTTGTAGGGTTTTCTGATTTCATTCTGTTTTCATTCCATTTGGAAGTCTTTAAATGCATGCAACACATGGATTCCCAGAGCAGAGACGCAGTGGCAATAATCAGGGTTATGAAAGTGTTTTGTGAAATCCACACGGGATTGGTCAACTGCATGAACATGTTGAACACTCTTTCACCCAAATCTTAAGAAATGATTAAAATGGGAACATTCTGATGGAAGGCGACTACAGTGGATACTGTCAGTACCTGGTCAAGATCCCCTTTTCCTGGCCGGAATACCTACCCTCCAGTTACTGCAAATGTTGCTGGTTAATAGCTTACAGTTGCCTCCATCTCTGGAGAATTTCTCTAAGCAGAACTAACGGAAGTGTTCTCCCTGAAGGTTACATATACACACACACACACACACACCAGGACAGCCCACTGCCAATAACTGAGTAGCAGGGCAGTATGAAGGGCCAGTCCCCTTAACTGTGGGGCAAGTCATATTCTAGAACTCCTCATGGCATTGTGGGAAGCAGGATACTAGTTGGAATGACATTCTTGTTTAAATTCTTCCCCTACCCTTATCTTGCTTCTCTCACAGTATTTCCCTTAAGAATACCCCCTGATGCATCCCAAGTCCTGCTCTGCCTCTTGGGAACCCAACCTAAGACAGTGGGGCTATCTAAATAATTTATACCATTAGCACTAGGTTATAAATCAATCAAAATATGGCCTGTCTGCTGAAGAGAGAACAGATGACACAGAGCAATAAATACACAGAGCTGAAGACACTGCCTGGCACTGAGTAGCAATTCTATTATGTTTTTTTTTTTTTTTAAATGGAGGAATAAATAAATAAATAAAAATGAGTTGAAGACTGCTATGGTTATCTTGAGGAGAAATAATGTCATCATTAGGATCCCAGGCACTGTTGTAGATATCTGGATTCAAATCCAAGTGCCTCCATTGTCTGGTGTCTGACCTTGGACATGTCCCTGAACTTCTTTGCCCCTTAGTTTTCTCATCCATAAAATGAGGGTAATAATAGTACTATGTCACAGGGTTATTAGAAGTGTTAAATGAGTTGGTGAAGTACTGAAAGTTAGCTTTTACTAGTATCATACATGCCACAGGAACAACAATATCTTTGTCAACAACCATTGTGAATATTGCATGTGGTACACTCCAAAGATTCCAGAATGACAAAATATCCTTCTCTGCTCTGAATCTTGACGAGGGTCACTGAGATTGTATGTAATGAGTTCAGAAAGCAGCTCCAGGCTTCACAGGACCCAGCAGAATTTAATTCATTGATTTGACAAACAATATGCATCAGGAACTATTCTGGACACCGTTCATACAACAATGAACCAACCAGGTACCTGAATTCATGGAAATTATATTCTAATAGTGGAGAAAGACAATAAGCAAATGAAAATAGTTTGCCTCAGATAAGGATAAGAGCTATGAAATTTGACAGTATAATGGTCTAGAACAATGTTGTCCAATAGAACTTTCTGGATGATGGGAATGCTCTATCTGAACTGCTTTGGGGGTCCTTAGACACACATAGATACCAAACACTTGAAATGTGGCTAATGTGACAGAAATAATTTCTGATTTTATTAAATTTAAAAACTACATGTAAATTTGGATTTACAGAAAGACAAGTGAGTGCAGAAGCAGACCCACACATTCATGGCCATTGGAATTATGACAAAAGTGGCACTACTTGGAGACTACTTCTGAGTGAGGAATGGATGGATTTTTCAAGAAATGGTACTGGGTCATTTGAATATAAAAGTAAAATGCAAAATTAAACTTGGTCTCTACCTCATCATATAAATAAACCAGTTCTAAAGATTGTATATCTGAATGTTAAAGGCAGACCAATAATGCTTCTAGAAGATAACATAGGAGACTATCTTAGCTACTTTGGCATTTGTAAAGATTTCATAAACAGTACTTACAAATCACTTGGATATAAAGGACAAAATTGATAAACTGAAGTTCATTAAGAAACTTCATTCATTAAGATACCACTATGATTTTTTTTAAAGCAAGCCAGAAAGCATGAGAAGATAATTTGCAATAAATATAATTGACAAAACACTTACATCCAGAATATATAAAGAATACCTACAAATCATAAGAAAAGGAGAACTTAATAGAAAACATGGGCAAAACTCAAACAAGCACATCACAAAAAGGGATAGCCAATTAGTCAATAAACATGAAAAGATGCTCAATCTCATTCATCATCAAGGAAATGCAAATAAAATGCACCATGAACTACCACTGCACTTCCACCAGAATGGCTGAAAGTAAGAAGACCAATAATACCAAGTATTGGTGGGGATATGGAGCAACTGGACTCTTATATAAAGTTTTTGGAAATGTCAATTAGCATAATCCATTTTGGAAACCATTTGCATACCTTCTCCCCCAGCAATTCCACTCCTGAATATATACTTGATAGAAATGTAAACAAATGTGCTCTAAAATATGTATACAGTAACATTCACAGAAGCACCAGTTACAGTAGCCCTGAAGAGAAAACAATGCAAATGCTCACAAATAGAATAATAGGAGATTCATACAATAAATTAGTATACAGCAATGAGAAATGAATAAACCACTGCTGTATACAACAGCAGGGATGAAACTCACAATCATAATGTGAAATGAAAGAAGCCGGTTGGAAAACAGCACACACTGTATGAATAGTACATGCCCTGTTTACAGAGTTCAAAAATAAGCAAAACAATCTACAGTGTTAGAAGTCAAGAAAGTGGTTACCGTGGAGAAGAGAAAAAGCTTCTGGAAAGCTGAGGATATTTTGTTTCTTGATAAGTGTTAGTAACACTTAGCTGTACAATTTTCTATATGTATATTTCTCTTCAACAAAAAAAGCTTATTTTAAAAAGCACATCACAGAGCAGAATGTACAGTTTGATCTCCTATTCTGAGAATACATGCGTGTGTGTGCCCATGCAGAGAACTGAATTATCTTTGAATGTTTGGAGGGAGTTACTTAGCTTTTTTAAAAAAACTTCTCATTATATTTTCTAATTCATCTGCAATAAAAATGTATCACTTGATAATAAAAAACAATTTGATTCCCTTTATAAAAACTGCAGCAATATCAAAAAGAATGACAAAAAACAAAGTGAAATGGTAGCCAAAGAGAAGATTGGAAGGTTTTCTTTTAGAAGATATAAGAGGCCTGCTTGTCTTTATGTATCAAGTGTGAAGGGTTAGGGGAGGTAGGGGCTGAGAAATCTTCATTTGGGTTTGTCATTGTGCAAATTGAAACACCCATTTTTATCAATAGATACTATGCAAGGGATGGATCTAGTTCTAGTATATGCGATTTGAAAGAATCTGTCTTGGACAGGAGCTATTCCTTTTATTACCTTTCTTCTCATTTCCATTATAATCAGGCACTCCTAATTACCACCTTTGAAAAGCAGTTGATTCTCTGTGAAAAGAATAAAAATACAGCCGACAACACTAAAACAACAAATAAAAGTATGTAAATACGCCACTTTTTCCCTTTGTCTATAATGTAATCTGCAGATATTTTGGCAAGATACTCAAGGCACTTCATAATGTAGCACCAGCTCTCTTTTCTTTCCTTATTTTCTGCCACTTACATCAGCTCTGCTCTGCTCTAGGTAAATTGAAATATGTGTATGCTTCTTGCTGTTCCATATTTGTGTTATGATCTAGCCCCTTTCTGTACCTGGCAAAATTGTTCTGGTGCTTTAAGGCTCAACTCTAATAACAACTTTTTTGGGAAGCTGTCTAAAGTCCCCTAGTTATAATAGCTATCATCTCCCTGTGATTTTCTGAACACTTTGTTATAATAAGAGCTCCCATAATGCACCAGGAACTGGACTTAATATCAATATTGATAATCAAGACTATTCTACCAAGTAGATATGGTTACACTACTTTATCAGATTAAAAAACTTAGCAAGATTCACTTAGTCACTAAGTGGATGAGCCCGGATATGAACTAAATCTTTTGTCTTTAAGCCAATATTCTTGTATTGTATCTGGCTCCCTGACTACATGATACTTTTGAGGGCAGGAATCATGCCCTATTAATTTCACTTTCCCTACAGTTGGCACAAACACCACATATTGTTAAATAGTTATAAGTGCTTGCATAACTTAATTGAATTAATTTCAATTTAGCTGCGTTAACAGGAAGCATAGCATCATATTAGGGGCTGAATTTTGTCTCCACAAAATTCCTACATTTAAGTCCTAGCCCTTAGAACTTCAGAATGCAACTGTATTTGGAGATAAGGTCTTTCCACAGGTAATTAAGGTAAATGAGGCCATCTAGTTGAGCCCTAATCCAATATGACTGGTGTTGTTATAAGAAGAGGGAATTTGGACATTGATCTACACAGAGAGAGGGACAACAATGAGAACACACTGGAGGAAGATGGCCACCTACAAGCCAAGGAGAGAGGCCCCAGAAGATATCAACCCAGCTGACAGCTTGATCTTGTATTTCCAGCCTTCAGAATTTTGAGGAAATAAATTTCAGTTGTATAAGTCTCCCAGTGTGTGGTACACTGCTTGGCAGCCCCAGGACACTAATGCAACTTCTCTGGCCATGTCACCCTATAGGTGCCGTGTCTAAGTTACTGGTTTCTCTCTTCTGTTTTTCTTTTCTTCCTTATTCTGAGTCTGCAAATATTCCAGCTCCTGACTCTTTTATACCAGCCATACCCCACCCCTCACCACTGTCTTTTCTTTAGAATTTGTATTTTGCCATGTTTATACCCACCTATGTGATTTCTTTCTATAGCTCTGCTATTTTATCAGTCCTGTTCCAGTCTTGCTCCCCTGATTCTGCTTTGTGGCTTTTATTTTAGATTACTGTCTGACTAGGGTTGCCAGATTTAACGAACAAAAAATTGTTCCTTGTTTATCTGAAATGCAAATTTAACTAAGTGTCCTGTATTTTAGTGTCTTGTATTTATCCGGTAGCCCTATGTCTGTTCCTTTACACATCACCATAGTCTTCAGTGCCCTTGTGGTGGCCTGATTAACTAAGAAATGGGGGCAAATTTATGCTTGCATTTTTTAGAAAATTAGTATCAAGATTTACAGCAAGGCATTGAGTTCAAATTCTGTCATTGCTACTAATTTTCCAAGTAACCTGAAACAATTCATTCTATCATTTAGAGTCTTTCTTCATCTGGAAACAATTAGTGCTTTATCAAACCTAGATGATAAAGGGAAGACTTAGTCTCACTCTATGTACAGCCATGTGCTGCATCACAACATTTTGGTCAATGATGCATTGCATAGATGACTGTGGTCCCCTAAGATTATAATACTGTATTTTTACTGTTTATATAATACTGTATATAATACTGTATAATACTGTTTATATAATACTGTATTTTTACCTTTTATATGTTTAGATATGTTTGGATACACAAATATTTACCATTGTGTTACAGTTGCCTACAGTATTCAGTATAGTAACATGCTGTGCAGGTTTGTAGCCTTGGAGCAATAGGCTATACCTTAGAGCCCAGGTGTGTAGTAGGCTATGCCATCTAGGTTTGTGTAAGCAAACTCTATGATGCTTGTTCCCACAACAATGAAATTGCCTAATGATGTATTTCCCAGAACATATCCCTGTTGTTAAGGGGTGGATGATTGTATATCAGTTCCTGTAAATTTTGGGGCTCTTTACTACTTTTCAAATTTTTCATCATGCTTCCTCCAACCAGAAATGAGGCAATGGCAAAATGCTAGTTTGTTTTATTCTCCATCCCATCTAGAGCCCGCTCCACCCCCACCACTAAATTCCAAGGAGTGTTTTTTTCCATTCATTCCTTTGGTATGAGCCATTGGAAACATATTCACAAACCATTTACAAACCCCTCCCCATAGCCCTATTCCCCACCCCAGCATTGGCCTCTTCTACAAACAGTTCTTTTGGAAAAAGGGGCTAAATTGTTTACCAACTTCATAAAGCTATTCTGTAAATAAACCAGTTTAAGTTTTGCTTGTGATCTGCTTTTTATTCAAAGAGCTGAATCAATAGTATGTTTTGTGACTCTGCTTAAAGGAGACACAGTTAAGAAGTTTAATGGAGACAGCATGGGCTGTACAGCAGTTGCCCAGGCTCGGTAGATGTCAATTAACTCCCCAATGTTCCCTTTTAGACAGATGTTCCCTAGGAAACTTGCCAAAACACATGCATGTTCTGTTAGCAGTGAAGAAGTTAAATAGAAAGCCACTTCCTCCTTTCCCTGAATGCATGCTTGAAAATCAGAAACTATAATTAAATGCATATGTGGCATTTTTCACAATATGTTAGGTTGGTGGTTCTAATTATTATCATACGTACCATATTTGATCTGGTAGAACATGTGAAAATGTTTATATACTTTTACATTATGGTTTAACAACACATATAAACATTTAGGTACAAAAGGATTATAAATTTTGTTAAAGGCATTGAATTACTGTCAAAAAGAGAGAAACTTTAGCAATTATCCCTGTATTTTTTGCAAACCTTTTGTCACAGAACAAACTGTTTCAGAAAGTAAAACTGTAGGAGAACACAAATTGAGGAAATGAAACTGAAATGTGTCAAATAAACAGAATATATTTTGTAGAAGCAGTCTTTTAGGGCTCTGCAGTGATATGAAAATTTGGGGACCAGACCTGGTTCTGAGCTCATCTGTCTCTTGCTCTGCCCATGAAAGGTGAAGAAGCTGAGAGTGGAGGAGGTGGGAATTGCCGCCTGTCACAGGGCAGACTTCTGTCTATGAATTACCAAGAACCTACTGTGTTCCAGGCACTTTTCATACATCAACTCTAATCTTTCCAACAAACTGGCTCTCACATTACAAACGAGGAAACCGGTTCAAAGTTTTAGGTAGTTTTGCCATTGTCGTTCAGCTGATTCAAGGCAGAACCTGGAGTGACAGCCAAACCCAGAGAGTGGAATAAAAGCTCCTCTCTCTACATCTGGGGATGAGGGTGGGCTTCGCCTGAGCTTCCCTTCCAAAGCGTTAGCTTGAAGAGTTTTTGTAATTGTTATGTCTGTGACTTGTACTAACTTTCTATTGCTTACCAGAAAGATGGCAAACTATATGCAAACTACTGTTTGAGTAAATTTGCATGTCATCAGCTCATAAAATGTCAAAGCCAGAAAGACCTTTGGAGGGCATCGAGTCCATTGTCTTCATTTTAAAGATCACAGAGCTGAGGCCAACTAGCTATGTGAGTTTGGATGCGCAGCAGTGAGTCAGGGTGTTTTGGAAACACTGCCCTCTGGCATCCTCACAGCTCCACTGTTTGGAGAGAGGAATGGGCAGATGCAGTCCAGGTTCTGTCTGCAGTCTCTTAAACATGAAGTCAATGGGAATGGTCTGGGTAGGTTGCCCATAATTGCTGCAGAGGTAGAGAAACAGTTCCTAGGGTGTTTAAGCATGTAGATAACCCAGCTAATTTGGGCAGTTTCTTTTTCTTCTTCTTCTTCTTCTTAATGTAGAGTATCAGTTAATCAAACTCAAACTGCTCCAGCTAATGTTGGCTATTTCCTACCTAATTGACAGGGCTGGAGTGCCCACAGCAGGGAGCTTCTACAATCCCCAGTTGTGGCTGCAGATGAGTTTTGTGGTTAGAAGGAAGTTAAGATGCCCTGAAGTCTAGACACAGAGACTCATCTTTAAAGGTGGAGCAAGGAGCCGTGGAGAGGGACAGTTATAAAAGCACAGCTCAGGAGTCTGCTGGACTAGCCATGACTAGAAGCAACTGCCCTAGTGCTCCCTTCTGACTTCCACTATTAGAGGTAACCACTGTGATTTATAGAAAGATGGGAGTAGAGATCAGCTTCCTTCCTTCCTTCCTCCCGTTCCTCTAATGCATTTTGAAGTTTGGTGATATCACAGGAGCCACTTTCATTCATTTCTAACTGTGAAGCAGATCACAATTACCCATTATAACTGCAAAGTAGCTTTTAAAAATCACATTTTACAGAGTGTTTTTAACACCATATGGTTGAGTACTGACAGGATACAGCACAAAGGAAACAGAAAAGTGTTTAGTGACAAGCATTTTCATGAAATCCACCTTTGCCTTCTCCTGCCTCGCATTCCCATGGCTGTTTAGGAGAGGGATTAATGCTAGCACTCGGAAGGAGACAACATTGCTACTGATCTCACAAGGAGCAAGGCAGGTGTGCAGACGAGGTGACAGGGTGACATCCAGGACCGCCTGTTCTTTCTGTTGTGTTCACACGACGAATGTTCCTCAGTCCTTCTCTTTAATTCAGTTAATCCCAAGGCCCTCACTCCTTACGGTTGTATTTTTAAAATTTTTTCCCTATTAAAGTGCATCTATAGGGGGGAAAAGCTAATTATATATAGGATATGAGAAACTACCTCAGAAGATGATTGACTACATTCCCAAAGGCACCCAAAATTAGGTCCATCATAGTAGATTTAAGTATTTATTGAGACCGTATGAGTACAAGCACTGACTAAGAGCTGTGCAAAGTACACCAGTATCCATAAGGAAGGGGATGGATGTTTATTGGGAGTGGCAGATCCCTGGCATGTGTTTAAAAGGATGCTCATAGAATCTGGCTCACTAGGAAACCAGCCCATTGCTGCCCCCAGACCTTTGCCACAGACTGGCAATGACTCAGTATCTCATAGAAGCCTCACAGCACCCCCGCAGAGGAGAAAGTAGCGTCCCTCAATTAATAGATCGGGAAACTGAGGATCAGAAAAGTGAGATAATTTTCCCAAAGGCACATAGCTAATAAAGTAGACCCAGGTTATCTGACTCCCATGTCATATTTTATAATTAAATTTAAAAATATATGTACCACACTTTTGAACTTCTGGGCAAGACAGTGGACTGAGTGTATTAAATAGTTGTTTAATTATCTTATGGTGAAAGAGTTCTAGAAAGCAGATAGAGGAGACCCAGGAGTATGTGCCTGACAGCCCTCAAATCAGAGAAGAGAGGGCTAGAGGCAAGAGCAGATCAAGCACCACACAATAGGAGAATATGAATTGCACAAAAGCAATAGGACACCTTCTGAACAAAGGCCTTGTGGACAGGGAGCCACTGGGCTCATTTGCACAGGCCATAACAAACGTGCAATAGTACTTTGGGCCACAGGCAAAGTCACTTGCAATGATTGCCCAGTATTCTGACTCAAACTCTCTTTCCACTACCCCCAGGTGCAGAATACCAACGCTCTTCAAATAAAATTATGGTAATTCTGGTTTTTTACATTCTTCATTGGAAAATAAAAGAATTGGATAGAAGCCAACATCAATCTCAACTCCAAATTTATTTTAAATCAATCTTGGGTAAACATAGAGTGCCTTATGAAAGGATGAGCAAGAAGAAATCACTATGCTTTGAAACTATATCACAGTTAAAAAGAAAGGGACAATTCTGAGATCATCACAGGTGTCTTCCTCTGAAATAGAGTTACTACAAGGCAAGGAAATTTTGATCTGTTTTAAAATTCTAACTTGGGTTCTCATATACACACAAGAGAACATTATGTCAAATAAAATGCAATATTAAATCATAAAGAGAAAAGGACCACGGATAAGAAAATTTGTACAATGTGAAAGACATGATTTCATGATTAAAAATTACAGTGTTGTCTTTCCATGACATGCTGGATATAACAGAAAATGAGTTTTGTAAAGTAGAGGACAGATTTAATATCTTAATATAGAGTTCAGAAGAACATGGTAAAGAGATTTTGAGTGAAAGATGAGAGGTAAGGATATCAGATCCAGTCGAATACATAGGATATATATTTAGAATTTTCATTTCAGTATGTATGCACTCAATATTTCAGACATCCAAGGGGATCAGAAAATGTGACATTTAAATACTTCTTGGAGTTGTTCCTGAAAACAGCTGTTTGAATACATGCTTTAATAAATTAAGACACAAATCAAAATAAGAAACTGAAGAATGGGGGACTCTGGGTATAAAAGCTGTGGGGTGGGCAGTTAGATGTGTTAAACAGAGTCTACATAATTTCCAATATGGTTATAAAACTTAATGCAAGTGTGAAAATGGTCTTTGAAGACTAGATGCATAATACAAATGAATAGCAATGGTGTTTAAGTAAAATCTCAGTTATATGTGTTATACATACAGATACACATTTTTAGGTATGTACACATCTATCTATATGTTCAAATATCTGCATTGGATAAGTCTGGGTTTGAACCCTGGTAGTAGTTAGTTTCAAACTAACTACTACTTAGCTTCCTGAGATCTTAGCCAAACATCTTTCCGATATTTGCATACGTACACACACCCCTCCAGACACATGTTTAATACACGTACAATAGGACGATCCAATAAAATGTTAAAAACAATTTCCTCTACTTAACTGGAGTATGTGAAAATTTTCTTATTTCCTTGATAAATTTGTCGATGTATTCAAGTTTGCAAAGTGAGCATTTATCACTTTAATAATCATAAAATGTCATTAAATACAAAAATAGACATACTAAATATTAAAACTATAATTCTAGCTCAGGATCTTTTCTTCTAAAAATCAGATCTGCACAATTAGGAACCTGGGTTGTGTTTTAGTTGAACCTGTATTGGTAAGCTTAGTAATTACAGATGCCCTTCTGGGTTGAGTTATGACTTGGAATTTCTACATCACATCATTAGAATTATCGACACTACTGAATGTCCTATTAACTATCAACACCATTGAGAGGCAGTAGGGATGGTGGCTGAGAACATGGGTGGTGGGTCAGACTGCCTGGGCCTTTCAACTGCCCAGTCCTCACTTACACCATGTGACCCACAGTGAAATATGTACCCTCTCTGGGCCTCACTTTTCTATCCTGTAAACTATGAATAACAGGAGTGCTTATCTCACAGGTTGGCTTGAGAAAAAAAGCCAGAAAATGACTGGTGAGGAAGCTGAAGGATAGGGAGGCTGCAGAGTCAGTCTTCAAAGGGAGAGGTGACCAACTGCAGAGCCCTGCCCCATCTCCAGTTCCACCCTAGCCCTGGAACCCAGTCCTTAGGCTGAGGCTCCTGCCAATTATAAATTTCATCCTCCAGCTTAGATTGAAATTGTATCTAATACAATTTACTCCTGACACCAGCTTTCTTCCATTTATTGATGAATCATTCATTTAAGATTGTTTGAAACTCTGTTCTATGGCATTTGTAGTTACCATATTCTGACCACTTGAAGTTTCTATTCAACACAATAGCTACGTATTATATTATGAATGATATAGGAAAGCATAAGCATATGACTTTTATTTTAACTCTGAAAAACATATTAGACAGACATCATAGCCAACGGTGGTATATAGCTATGGCCTCACAAGTTTCCTTTAAACTCTTACAATGGCAGTAAGAACTCTCTGTGTAGATAAATGGACCTGTAGAGAAATGGAAGGTGAGTCACAGCCACCATGACAGGGACTTTTGGATTTATTTTGTAGTTGTTATATTGAGAATATTCACTTTTCCCATTCTTCACTTGGCTGCTTTGTTCTTTTGGTTTCTGTCCCTCTTGCCCAAATAGAGTCAAGTCTGATTATTAATGGCTGGTCAATTTTAGGCTATCATTTGGAGGTAATTAATTTGGACAGAAAGTATAAAACTAGCATTCATGGAGCTGACTTGAGGCTCAGTTAACTCACCAGATGAATTGTTTCATTTTTAAGCAGCTATTCTTCCAAAGACCCATTTATAAGACAGGTGTGTAACCTCCAGTCTCACATCTCACTCAGTCTCATGATAGCACCAAGTTTCCCAAATGTATCAATAGACGCTGTAATTTTTTATATAACTGTCATCAAGCCAATTGCTTAATTAATTCTATTTATTTTTTTCTTTTAGGTCTACAAACTTTCAGGAGCTACTAAACCAGAATAGAACTGGGAAAGGACATGTTTATTCTCACATCAGAAATTGGAAAATGCTATCATTGTGATCTTGCTCGTGGAGCAATTATGAAATACATACACATTTCAACAGCATATATTTTATATTAGGGAACTATGTGCTCAATGCCCCAAATGTACTCCCTCTGAGAAGAATACAGCCCTTAAAATGTTGTTCACAAACTGTTTGCAGTGGTTTATTAATAATTTTGCAAATGAACAAAATTTGTAATTGGCAACTAAAAATTTTTCAAGGACATCCTCAAAAGGAGAGCAGCATATTTTCAAATCTGAAACAGATGTACAAGTACTTGAGGCTCAGTTCCTTAAGGCCCTTTTTGTACTGTGAAGTATCACCCAGATGTTGCTACCTGGAAGGCCTTCAATGACTTGCATACTTTGTCTAACATAATAGGAGAATGACCCAGCTTCTTAGTTCAGAGGAGCAGCACAAATGTAGCAGAAAATGCAATCGTGCAGCATGGTGGCCAGTCACCGGTCTCTGCTTTCACCTTGGTAATAAACAGAATCATGTTGTTCTCGCTAAGGATTGTACTTTTGTGCTCTATTTATTTTTGTCATGCTCCACTGCCATACGGTTAGTCAAATGGACAGAAGTTAACCTCAACCTCTCCATCCTCCAGAAACACTTAAGTCTGTTTCATCTGATTTAACATCAGCACATATGTGCCTTACAAATCTTTGTTAAAGACCACTAACCTTAATGTTCCGAAAAGGGCACTGCTGAATCTGATGAATTTAAAACACAGAAAGATGAAAACCAAGAATTTCACAAGATTGCTTTTGTTGAAAATGCTTTATTAGTCAGGACTGCCAAAATGGGGACTGTATCAAAGGTAATGCTACTACAAAGGAGAAAAGTACTTTCCTTCCCCAAACATATGCTTTGCAGCTGAGCCCTGCTCTCAGTTTTGAATCTTGTTTCATGTGGCACTCTGATTCTCCTTTTTGGCTCAAAGCCCAAACATTCTCTGATGATACCTTCCCTATCTTCCCAAGCTTTAGAGTCAGACACTGAAACATTAAACTGAACACAGTAAAATATTAACATGAGATTGAGTCTCTATGCAATAAAGAGCTCAAATAACATGCTTACCCAAAGGAAAAAGTAAAACAAGTTATTTTGCTATTTGGAAAACGATTTGGAGATGGAGTGTGTGTGTGTGTGTGTGTGTGTGTGTGTGTGTGTGTGTGTGTGTGTGTTTCCCATAAATATTCCTTCTTCTTTATTTTGAAAAGTGAGTGAGGTGAGAAAGGAAATGCAAAGAATGGGAGAAGATGGGGAATTTTTGAAAATTGGCAGAACAAAATGTGACGATTCGAAGGGTGTTGATGGATAGAGAAGGGAATGTCACAGTACAAGGAAGAGCGGTTAGTGTCGTTAACAGAAATGTTTAAGGTGCATATGTATTCATGCTAATTCAATTGAAATAGATGTAACTGTTTCTGGAGGACGAAAAGGTTAAGGTTGGCTTCTACATGTTCTGCTAACCATATGTCAGTGGTTTATGACTAAAATAATTGCCGCAGTGCTTCCTTCACTCGGAAGGAGAGAAGCTATAGAGAAAAAGGAGCACATTTGCAGGCTTGCTCTTTCATGAGGTTTTATGATTCCTCAGTTAGCATGACCTTGTTCTTGATGAGTTTGAATCCTATTTTTGCAAGTTTCTTCTCAATGCTCACAACTCCACCCGGTTATGGTAGAGACTGACCTTCTCATTCTGAACTTTCTCTTATGAAGCCTAGATTTCCATAGGCCTTGTTGTCCTGTGGGTAACAAATGAGATCACACAAACATTTGCACTGAAATTTCATTAAGCCACAGTCCCCATCTGCTTCAACAGCACTTCAAGTTCTCCAGCTCCTCCCTGCACTACCGCACCTCCAGCTGTTCATGGGAGGTTTCATGGGTTCAGGAACAAGTCCACTCGCCTGGTAGCCATGGTGCTCTACAATGGCTCACCACTGGTCCATGAGGCACCACAGTCTCTCCAAACTTTCGTGGACACAGGAGAGTTCCTGTCTGAGGGCACCACTGCTCTTCTGAGACCTACAGGCACCAACCTGCTCCTGAAGCCCCTACAGCTGCTCTCTCTCCTCCTCCCCTAAGAACTGAAAGATTTTCTTCTGTCTGAGTTCTTTACTGAGTCCTTTTCTAATGCAGAATTATGAAGTTAGTATGTTCCTCTCTGGATCACTATTGGAAACACTCCTAAATAGAGTTGTGTAGGCCATGGTAGGCTATGGATTTCAGTGAATGTGCTCTTTTAGTTTTATTTACTGAATTATCTAGGATTCAGAAAGCCAGCTCTCCAGCCTCTGGAGTCAGTCTCTTTGGAGGGGAGCCCCCACGGAATGTCCAAGCTTTTGAATCATGCAAATTCTCCCCACAATTATCACGGTGCTTGGGCTTGTGGGGGTAGAAAAGATTTCACGTAACTTGGTAGCCCACAGATCACTAAAGGAGTGTGGGAGAGAGAAAGGGATCCACCTTACCCCTCCACTGGGCTCCCTGAAGCTCTGGGTCTGATCTTCACTGATATCTTTTTTTTCTTTTTCCTTTTCCTTCATTGCTTTGCAATTCTCCTCCATGAGGTACCCAGCCCAACAGGCTCTAATACTTCTTCCTCTGAACCACACCTGTGTACTTTCTCCCCTCTCCTTTATCTGATATCCATCTTTCCCTCTGGGACAGTCTGGTAAGTGATGTCTCTAGTCAGTCATCTTCCCACCCCCCTAGATTTTTTTCAAAAGAAGATGGAGAAATGGTAAAAAAAACATATGAAAAAGTTCTCAAAAATGCAAATTAAACCCCAGTGAGATACCACCTTACCTCTATCAGAATGACCACTAATAAAAAATTTTTAAAAAATAGATGTTGGCATGGATGTGGTGAAAAACAAATTAATATATATTGTTAGTGAGACTGAAAATTAGTAACCTCTATGGAAAACAGTATGGAGATTCCTTAAAGAACTGATAATAATAAAACCAGACAAAAATGTCATAAGAAAAGAAAACTAGAGTACAATGCAGATGCAAAAATCCTTAATATAATATTAGCAAGCACAATCCAGCAACATAAGAAAAATTATATACCACAGACAAGCAAGATTTTACCCAGGAAAGTAAAGATGGTTTAATAATAAGAAAGTCAGTTAATGAATATATCATATTTATAGAGGACAAAAACCACATGATTATCTCAACAGATGGACAAAAATCACTTGACAAATTTTAATACCCAATTATATTTTTAAAAAAACCCTCTAAACAAACTAGCGGGAACTCCCTCCATCTGATAACAAGCATCTGAAAATACACCCACAACTAATATCATACTAATGGTGATAGACAATATGAATGCTTTCCACTTAGGGTTAAGAACAAGGCAAAGATATCTGATCTTGACATTTCTATTTATCACTGTGTGGAGTAATCCAACCAGTGCAATAAAGAAAAATAAAAAAAAGAGAGAATGTTAAAAAAAAAAAAAAAGGATCCATAGAGGAAAGGAAGAAGTAAAACTCATTTTTAGCAGATGACAGGCTTCTGTTTGTAGAAAATCTCAAGCAAATACAAAAATTATTATAATTTAGTTTAGCAAGGTCATGGAATAAAAAAATCAAAATACAAAAATCAATCATATTTTTATATGCTAGCAATAAATAATCTAAAATGAAATAATGACACCAATTTTATTCAAATTAAGATAAAAAAGAATGAAATACTTCAGAAAAAGCTAACAAAATGTAAGATTTGTACACTGAAGCTATAATATATTGTTGAGAGAAATTAAAGAAGATATAAATAAAAGGAAAGATAGCTTACGTTCATGGATTAGAAGATTCAGTATTGTCAAAATAGCAATTCTACTCGAATTGATCTATAAATTCAGTACAATCATTATCCAAATCCTTGCTTGCTTTTTAATAGAAATTTACAAGCTGATCCCAAGCTGTAAATATAGAAATGCAAAAGACCTAGAATTGCCAAAATAATTTTAAAAAGAACAAAATTGGAGAACTTACACTACCAATTTCAAAATTTACTATAAAGCCATAGTAGTTAAGACCATGTGGTATTACATATAAATTAATGCAACAGACTTGAGAGTCCATAAATACATTCTTACATTATGGTCAATCGATTTTCAACAAAAACACCAATGCAATTCAAAAGGAAGAAAGATAGTCTCTTCAACAAATGGTGCTGGAACAATTGTATATATCTACATGCCAAAAAGGCCTTTACCGAAAACTATAAACAAAATTTCACTCACAATTGATAATAGACCTATATTTAAGGGCTAAGAGCATAAATCAGAGAGAAAATATTTTTAACCTTGGAGTAAGCAGAGAGTTTTAGAAACAGCATCAAAACCACAATCCATAAAGGAAAAATTGATAAATTAGAATTTATTGAAATAAAAGACTTTTGTACTTCCAAAAAGGCAATTAAGAAACTAAAAGATAAGCTATTGTATGGGAGAAAATATTTGCAAATCCAATATCTGACTTAAAAACTTGTTAATACAATATTTAAAGAACTCTTTGAACTCAATAAAAAGGCAAACAACCCATTTAAAAATGGGCCACATATGTGAATACACTTTTCACTATAAATCCATTAGAATGGATATAATGAAAAAGACAAGTCAATAGCAAGTATAGTGGAGCCCCCTCATCATCAGTTTTGCTTTCCATGGTTTCAGTTACCTACAGCCAAACATAATCCAAAAATATTTCATTGAAAATTACAGAAAAAAAAACAGTTCATAAGTTTTATATTGCACATTGTTCTAAGTAGCATGATGAAATCTCACACCTTCCTCCTCCATCTCCTAGGACATGAATCATTCCCTTGTCCAATGTAGTCACATTAGTCACTCAGTCATAGCTGGATGATACAAGATCACTCAAAGCAGATAATCCTCCTTCTTTTTTTTATTTTTTACATTCTATTTTTTTTTTATATCAGCTTATTACGAGGGTACAAATGTTTAGGTTACATATATTGCCTTTGCCCCACCTGAGTCAGAGCTTCAAGCATATCCATCCCCCAGATGGTGCACACTGCACCCATTAGGTGTGTATATACCCATCCCCTCCTCCCACCTCTGACCTGCTGGACACCTGGTGAATATTATTTTAATATATATGCACTTAAGTGTTTGTCAGTTAATACCAATTTGATGGTCAGTACATGTGGTGCTTGTTTTTCCATTCTTATGATAACTTCACTTAGAATGGGCTCCATCTCTATCCATGATAAAACAAGAGGTGCTAGATCACCATTGTTTTTGTGGCTGAGTAGAACTCTATGCTATACATATACCACATTTTATTAATCCATTCATGTATTGATGGGCACTTGGGTTGTTTCCACATCTTTGCAATTGTGAATTGTGCTGCTATAAACATTTGAGTGTAGATGTCTTTTTTATAGAACGTCTTTTTTTCTTTGGGTAGATGCCCAGTAATAGGATTGCTGGATCAAATAGTTCTACTTTTAGCTCTTTGAGGTATCTTCATATTACTTTTCATAGAGGTTATACTAGTTTGCAGACCCACTAGCAGTGTATAAGTATTCCTGTCCATGCCAATGTTTATTGTTTTGGGACTTTTTGACAAAAGCCATTCTCACTGGAGTTAAGTGATATCTCATTGTGGTTTTGATTTGCATTTCCCTGATGATTAGAGATGTTGAGCATTTTTTTCATGTTTGTTGACCATTAGTCTATCTTCTTTTGAAAATTTCTGTTCATGTCCTTTGCCCAGTTTTTAATAGGGTTGTTTGATTTTTTTCTTGCTGATTTTCCTGAGTTCTATATGGATTCTAGTTATTAGCCCTGTATTGGATGTGTAATATGCAAATATTTTCTCCCATTCTATAGATTGTCTATTTGCTCTCATGATAGTTTACTTGGCTGTGCAGAAGCTTTTTAATTTGATCAGGTCCCATTTATTTATTTTTGTTGTTTCTGTGATTGACTTTGGGGTCTTCATAAATCTTTCCCTATCCCAATGTCTAAAAGAGTTCTTCCAACATTTTCTTCTAGAATTCTTTTTTTTTTAATTTTTATTTTTAGACAGTCTTGCTCTGTTGCCTGGACTAGAGTGCCATGGCATCAGGCTTCCTCACAGCAACCCCAAACTCCTAGGCTCAAGTAATCCTTCTGCCTCATCCTCCCGAGTAGGTGGGACTAGAGGCGTGTGCCATAATGCCCGGCAAATTTTTTCTATATATTTTTAGTTGTCCAGCTAATTCTTTCTATTTTTAGTAAAGATGGGGTCCCACTCTTGTTCAGGCTGGTCTTGAATTCCTGACCTTGAATGATCCTCTTGCCTTGGCCTCCCAGAGTGCTAGGATTACAGGTGTGAGCCGCCATGCCTAGCCTCCTCTAGAATTTTTATAGTTCTACACCTTAGGCTTAAATCTGTTATGCAATGCAAGTTGATTTTTGTGAGAGATGAAAGGTGTGGATCCTGTTTCAGTCTTCTACATGTGGCTATCTGGTTTTCCCAGCACCAATTATTCAATAAGGATTCTTTTCCCCAGTGTATGTTTTGATCTGCTTTGTCAAAGATTAGATGGTTATATGAGGATTGTTTTATATCTGAGTTCTCAGTTCTGTTCCATTGGTCTATGTCTATGTGCTTGTGCCAGGACCATGGTGTTTTAGTTAAGTATAACCTTGTAGTATAGCTTGAAGTCCTGTAAATTGATGTTTCCCAATTTGTCCTTTTTGCTTAAGATTGTTTTTTTCTATATGGGGTCTTTTCTGGTTCCATACAAAATGTAGAATTATTTTTTCTAGATCTGTGAGAAATGATTTTGGTATTTTAATAGGGATTACATTGAATCTGTAGATCACTTTGGGTAGCATAGACATTTTAACAATGTTTATTCTGCTGACCCATGAGCATGGTATGTTTTTCCACCTGTTTATGTCCTCTACTATTTCCTTCCTCAGTGTTTCATAGTCTTCCTGTAGAGGTCTTTCACCTCGTTAGTTAAATATATTACTAGGTATTTTATTTTCTTTGTTGCTATTATGAAGGATATTGAGTCTTTTAGCAAGGCCTGGGATATTTTGCTCCATTATATCCTCAAATAGCTTGTCCAAGCCCTGTATATTTTCTTCTTCACCCTCAGGAATGTGTATAATTCTCTTGTTAGGCCTCTTCACATAATTCTACATTTCTTATAGGCTTTGCTCTTTTCTCTTATTTCCCTGCTCTAACTCTGCAACTGACTTAGGTAATTGAAAGGTGTTATGTTATCTTCAATCCCTGAGATCCTCTCTTCTGTTTGATCTATCCTATTCTTGAGGCTTTCCACTGTGTTTTGTAATTCCTTGAATAAATTTTTCATTTATTCCAAAAGTTCTGTTTGATTTTTCTTTCATATTTCAATTTCTTTGGTGAATTTTTCTTCCAAGTCATGGATATTTGTGTGTGTGTGTGTGTGTGTGTGTGTGTGTGTGGTGTCCTTGTGTTGGGTATCCATTTTCTCTTTCATATCAGTGAGTTTTCTCACAATCCATGTGTGAAATTCTTCTGTCATTTTCGTGTTCTGAATTTGATTGATATCCATTGCTAGAAAGCTGGTGTTCCCCTTTGGGGTTGTGTTTTCAGTTTGATTCTTCATACTTCCTGAATTCTTTTGCTGATTTGTTCCCATCTGGAGCAGCTGCTGCTTCTTACCTTAGATTTTCTTTTAGATAATGACACACCCAGTTTAGTCTCTGAGCCAGTAGGTGATGTTTGTGGGTCAGATTTGACCACACCTTGTATGATGAGTTAGTAAATGCAGTAAAAGGTGTGCAAATTGACCTACCTGTCAGTAGGTAGTACTTACTGGGAAAAGCAAGCTTCAGTTTTGTTTTGGGGTCCTGTAACCAGCTCTAGTTCCAGTGAATAGATACTCTAGTGCCTCAGGTGGTGGTGGGGCCTTGGGACTGGGTGGAGCTAGGATAGCTGAACCTGCCCTCAAGCTCCACAAATGCTGTTAGCAGGGGTCAAAGGTCTGTTCTCTGCTTCTGGGCAAAGCTGCCAAAAGGTCTGTGTGTGGGGGTGGGGCTGTCTGAGACCTGCAGACTAGTGCAGGTCTCATTCCTTTCTACCCCTCTATATTCTGCAGATTTTCCCAGGCCTCTGCCAGTAGGCAGGACCTCAAGCTGGGGGATCTCTCCTGACTGTGATGCAAATTGGGAGGTTCCCTGCCCAGGATCACAGCCTTAGCTGGGAGTGCAGCCCTCCTGGGGGAGGAGGGTTATCCCTCAAGCAAGCTGCAGCTAGGACCCACTCTGATCTGCCCCTGAGGAACACACACACCTCAGTAGCCTAGTCACAAACGTCCCTTCTGTGTCCCTGGGCAAGGTGCTTGAGACCTGGATGTATGGGATCTGGCTTGCAGGCCTGTTTCCCAGTCCGGGAGATCAATCCTTGGCTCTGTCAGGGAGAAGAGTGCTCATCTCAAGTCACCCACAGGTGCCAAAGCTGGATCAATGTGTCTCTGCCTTGGGATTTGCCCCACTCTGCTGCAGTCACCAAGGCAAGCAACACCTTTGGGGGCCAGGAGGTAGGGAGCTCACAGTCTGCGTCCCCCTCAGCCCTCTTTAGGGCCCCAAAAGTAAAGGTCCCATTCCCTGTGGATGTCTCTGGGTGGTGGCTAAATTTTCTCTCTCTCAGCAGCTGCAGGTACTGGATGCAAAGGGGAGAATGAAGCAGTATGGTACCTGCAGATCAGTTCTGGTCTATGGGGTGGGAGGTGCCCCAAGGGAGCTGGGAGCCTGGTGCCAAGAGGCTCACCACTCACCTTTGGCAGCTGTCTCTGGGCTGGTGTCAGCAGGTCTCCCCATCAGCGCAGGAGCCCACCAGCAGTCTGAGATGCAAGGTAGGGGAAATTTAACTGTTCCACCTACCTTGTCGCTGGTCTCCAAGATCCTCAGGGTTTAGACCCTGCAGATCCCTTTCTCCTTCCAGTTCTGCTCCACAACTTCTTCCTGTGGAATCTTCTGTAGTTTCAGGCACCCTTCCTTCTGAGCCTCATCTGATCTGTGTTTTTCTGCCTGTTTGTTTTTTTCCACTTTCATCTAAAATCTATCTTTCTTGCAGAGGCACTCTGGCTGGTGGTTTTTCTTGTCCATCATCTTGCCTCACTCTTGATCCTCCTTCTTATGCACCATCAGAAGGTCAATAGTAGTTTAATGCTATGTCACAATGCCTATGACATTCATCTCATCACGTTGGCATTTTGTCATCTCATATCATCACAAGAAGGGTGTATATAGTACAATAAGATATTTTGATAGAGAGACCACATTCACATAACTTTTATTACAGTATGTTATAATTGTTATATTTTATATGTTATTTTTGTTAATCTCTTGCTGTGCCTAAATTTTATCATAAGTATTCATGTATAGGAAAAAATATAGTATAAGTAGGGTTTGGTACTATACAGATTTCAGGAATCCAATTGAGGTCTTGGAACATATCCCCCAGGGGGACTACTGCATTGAAGAAGACTATTTTAAAATGGTACAGCCAGGTGGAAAGCAATCTGGCACTTTTTGTGAAAATTAAACATAAAGCACCCATACAACCCAGCAATTCCACTCCTAGGACTCTACTCAAGGGAAGTGAAAACTTATGTCCACATAAAATGTACATGAATGTTCATAACTGTATTATTCATAATAGTCCCAAATTGATAATTGTATAAATAGCCAACTGGTTAATGGATAAATAGTCCATAACAATGGAATAATATTTAGCAACATAAAGGAATAAGCTACTGACACATGTTGTTATACTTTGAAAACATTATTTTAAGTTAAAGAATTCAGAGGTATAAAACTACATATTTTGTGCTTCCATTTATATGATATGTTTAGAAAAGGCAAATTTATAGACAGAAATCAGATAAGCAGTTGCCTAGGGTTAGGGGTGAGAGCATGAATAAATTGCAAATGAGCACAAGGAAAATTTGCAGGGTTATAGAAAAGTTCTAAAACTGGAGTATGGCTATGTTTGTATAACTAGATTTATTAAAAATCCTTAAGTGAAAAATATTATTTTATCTGTTAAGAAAGGATTAAGATTAGATATGAGATTTTCTTCTTTTATTATTTTAGCACCTCACCCTACTTTGGGTTAATAGACTAATTAATGGTGACATTAGCTGTCTAATCAGTTCAAGATATTAGTCATAATATATCGGCTTAAAAAATGTGTTATTGCAAAAGGCAAGCAGTTTTGAACACTGTGCTTGTTCTGTGGGAACCAGCTGAGCAACTGCTCTCTTCAGGGCCATTTTACCTAATATTTTTTGTGCTGGTTTGGGCAAAGTCTGAAGCAGCAGTGCTTCTCACCCTGCACCTTTATTATGGTTATGTGGCTTCTGGTCCTACTCTTCCCTTGGTTTAAAGGTGCCAAGGCTCCTTATGAGTATTCAGTTGCACTATCCTCCAGGAGTTTCCAATATGTCATGGTGCACGTTGAGCTAAGTGTCTTAATCACCTCCTCTTTGTCACATTGGTGAGGGAGAGATTTCCACCCTAAGGTTATGGAGATGGCCAAACACATGAAACCTGACACTGGACTGGTGACATAGACAGCAGTTAGCCACATACACTCTAGCCCAGTGGAGAAGGACACTACACATCACATAAAATCCCATGGAGGTTGCAACTAGGAAGGGGAGTGAACAACTAGGGGTTGTGGGAGGCAGGCTTTGTAGTATCAAGACAACGGGGTGCCCCAGGCTCTCTGGGAGGCTGTGATTGGCCTGTTTGTATAATTCCATAGGCCAGCAGGGAACTGAAAACTGCTACTCAGGGATAAGCAGGAAGTCCACCAGGTCTGTCTGATAAGGAGGGTTGTTTGGCTAAGGGGTCTTATTTTCAGGAGCAGAGTGGGGACAGAGCTTCCAGTTAGGCCTTCCGAAGCCCTCCCTGTTTTCCAGATGGCCAGGCAGAAAATAAGATTGAGCCTTAATCAAGTCATATATCACACCAAGTTAAACACACAGGACACCTTACTTTCTGTATTTGATTATATATGCCCAGAAAAGTGAATCAATAGTCCTGTTCAGATTCTCTATTTAGCCTCCCCATGCCTCCATTTACAATCACAATATCTGTCAGTTATACAAGATGGAGGGAAAAACAAACACTGTAAGATTGATTGCCAAGAAATCATCTATAAGTTGTTTTATGTGCTTGCAAATAAAAACATTTTATATATCATGGATTCTAAAATACAGAGAAGAGGTAGGTATTGCATATGGGTCCTCTATGTCCTCACTGGATATTTCATGCTACTTTATGACCCTACCACACTGTATTGTTGGTTTAAGTTCCGTGAGGATGGAGTCATGTCTTGTTTATCATGGTGCCTCTAGCAACAAGCCCAATACCTGGCAAAATACAAGCAATGAAACCTAAAAATTAATAAGATTTCACCATGTACCAGATAATGTCCTAAATAATATGTACATGTTATTTAATGGTCACAACCAATTTATGAGGTTGATATTATTGTTATTTCAGCTTACCAGATATGGGGCTGGCAAAATTTTTCTGTGGAGGGCCAGATAAGTCAGTATTTTAGGCTTTGAGGACCATGCAGTGTTTATTGAGACTACCCTGCTCTAACCTTGGAGTATAAAAACAGCCAGAGACAACATGCAAATGAGTGGTCATGGCTGCGTTCCAGCCAGCTGGCTTGATTTGGCTCACAGGTCTAGTTTTTCAACCCTGTTTTAGATGATACCACTAATGATTGGTGTGATTATGTAATTAGCTCAGGGTCATACAGCTCACAAGAGGCAGAGCAAAATTTTATATCCCAAATCTTGGTATGTCTGACTCCCAAACCCCCTTTCCTAACTACTATTTTGTGCTGCATCAAACTTCTGCACTAGTCAGTAGGGCTTCATACCTCTGTGTTGGATAAATGAAAAATTCTATTGTTATGTTCATTTTACTAGAGAAAACGCTGAGTCAGATTTCAATCAGTCAGCACATAGTCAGGACTTCTGACTTCTATTCTAAACTATAAATTAATCATTCTGGAATATTTTCTCCAGGACTTGTCTACTCGTTTAGCAGTATATCAAATCTATATCTAATAGGAAAGACCTGCTGTTAATGCAAGAATAGAATACCCTGGACTATGAGCTCTATTTGCCATTATTTGGTTTCTTATCTTTAGTTGCCTTTCGTTGGTCCCACTATAGTTTTCTTCAGTTTCTGAAAATGGATTAATGCATTGGACTCTCCAGGACTGTTCAACCCTAACTCTATTTACCTAACCATATACTAGAAGTTCAAATACCCTAGAAACTAGCTCTTTTCCTCTCTCAAATTAGTTACAAAAGGCTAACGATGCTTTTTCACACTTTGCTGAGAAAATTGTTTTCCAGCTGGGATATTGTCTTTTAATTTTTAACCAAAAATACATAAGTTGAAGAATAAAAAAAATTGCTGACACATCTTTACCTGATTGTGCCTAGAATAATAGCATTTCTAAGATGGTTCAACTATTATTTTTCATAAACTGTAGAAATGAATAGCAACAGCATTGTTACTTATAATTCAGAGCTCGCTGGTATTAAAAAAAAAAAAAAGACATGTGGCATCCGGAAAATGTAATTAATTTGATGGTATAAGCCTTCATAAATTATCAAGTATTCCCTGTAGCAGCCATGAAAAACTTAGAGAGAACATGAGCTGCCTTTAAATTGCTTAGTTTTCTCACAACCAGAATTATTTTAAGGTGGTTGTGTTGCTGCTGATATTAAAAGATGTTTGACTTATTATTCCCATTAATAGCCAATTCCACCTTTAAATAAGGTGATAGAGATTTGGAGTCACACACAAGCTAGTGTCAGTGTCTCAATGCTGTCATTCTTCTTGCTAATGAACTGCAGTTACAGAAATTAATTATGGGGGAAAGGTTGCTGTTAGCCCCACCAGGAATGAAGTCTCCAGATTCCAAATCAAATGTTCTTGAGGAGGAAGAGCAGAAGTTCCTGTGGCTCTACCTCCCAAAGCTCTGCTCACGTTGTGCTCATTCTGCCAGGCACAAACAACATGCTTCACTGCACAGTGGGAGAAAAATGACTTTGGGAAGGAGTTTTTAATATTTACAATAAGTACAAAAAGCAGTCACGGAAAGACAGAATAATCTGGTGGCTAGAACAGTTCCTAGGGAAGCCAGAGTAGTATATTCTGGGTCAGGGGCTCTGGGAGACCATGAATCTACTTTTGAATATCTACATGATATTTGCATAATAAATAAGGTGATATCTGACCTTTGCAACTTTTCTAGAAATTAATTAATTTTAATTAATATAATGCATTACATAATTCTGTCTTCTGAAATAATAGTTAGGAGATACTTAGAGTCTGCAAAATATTTAGGTGGCATCTGAAGACCACCTACATTACCCTTTGCTATGCAACCATGAAAGAAAAACAATGTATCATCTTCTCCTGTTGGAAGATGATATAGCTAGCCTTAGGAGGAAGTTAATTGAATTTGTCATCCTGGAGGTATTAAGAACTAAACTATCTGCTTACTATTTGTCAACTTGTATGCAAGTTTCAAGTATCCCTATGAAGTTCTAGTACTGGGCAATTTTGAAGTCCTTTTTATTCTTGTGAATTTTGTATTATATGATAAGTCATTTGTGAAAGGAATAGGGAATTAGAAAATTAGAAGCATAAATTATGTGACTTAGGCAAAAAAAAATCAAAATCATAGGAGATTACTTCCCATATCATTCAAAATATTTTTAAAGTGGGGATTGGAGAAGAAGATCTAAGAATAAACCGGCTTGTATTGAGTTTGGAACCTTCAGAGTTAAACTGGCAGTTTTCCCAGCAGCACAATTGCCTACAGCTGATTTGCAGGCAATTTTACAGAAACATCCTTGTCCTCTCACTAGCTGGAAATAAGAGGGAAAAGATAAATGGACTCTGCGGATCACTTGTTTGAGATGGGGTTGATGGAGGTGAAGAGCACTAATCTGAAGACATTGGTTATTAATATGCTCCCTACTCACTGGCAACATCAGAGCAATGAAGCCACAAAACTCTTTGAAACTGCGAAAGAATGTTTTTATAAAATTGCTATTAATATAACTATTAATACC